GTAGGCATACTGCAGGGGGTCCAGGGTGCCCGGTATACTGCTCTGAATGCGGGCCAGCACCACTCTCTCAAAGCACTTTATAATGATTGGGGTGAGTGCCACTGGCCTGTAGTTGTTCAGGCAGGTGACCGGGGTCTTCTTGGGAAGGGGAACGATGGTTGTGGTCTTAAAGCAGGTGGGGAGGATGCTCTGGCTGAGGGAGAGGTTGAAGATGGTGGTGAGAACATCAGCCAGCTCGCTGGCACATGCCCTGAGAGCCCTCCCAGGGATGTTGTCTGGTCCTGCTGCTTTGCAGGGGTTGATCTTCCTCAGGACTGTGCGCACTTGGCCTGGTGAGACAGTTATTGGAGGGGAGTTGGGGGGCTGGGTGGTCTCGATGTGTGTGTGCCTCCTCTCTGTGCTGTGGCTGGAGGTCTCAAAGCGGGGGTAGAAGGTGTTGAGGTCATCCGGCAGGCAGTCTGTGGAGCTGATGATGCTGGTGGTGGTCCTGTAGTCTGTGATGTGCTGCAGGCCTTGCCACATCCGTCTGGAGTCAGCAGTGAAATAGAAGCCATTCAGCTTCTCTCTGTACTGCCTCTTGGCCGCTGTGATGGCTTTTCTCAGTCTGTACTTCACAGCTTTGTACTCATCGCCTGATCTGAATGCATGAGAGCAAGCACGCAGCATGTAGCGTACCTGACTGTTTATCCAGGGCTTCTGGTTGGGGAACCTCCTGACTTGTATGGTGGGACAATGTTGTCAATACAGGTACTAATGTACCCGGTCACATACTCAGCATAATCCTGTACGCCGACAGAAAAGTCCTCTGAGGTGGCTGCAGCTGTGACTGTGACTTCACAGTGACTGTTGACAGTAACGTCCTGCTCTGCTCAGTCTCTCCTTGTTCAGTAAATGCTGATGATTACTGAAATGAGGCACAGATTTTAACTAACCGAAACCACAGCAGCTGAGACTCTGTCTCAAGTGAACGTGCCCACTTCTCAATACAACACTTATCCCTGAGACTCTGTCAAAGGCATAACAGTCTGAGTTCTTTCTGTGCTTAATGGTGTTGGACCTGGTCATGTAGATTCAGAGTCTGTGTCCATCTCCTCAGTCGTCCCGTTACATCAACGGCCGCTTCATCACTGACTCCGACATCCTGGCATCAAACGGGCTCATACATGTTCTCCAGGCTCCGCTGAATGCCCCGCTTCCTGGCCCACAGGTGAGGATTTATTTAAATTAAGGCCTAAACGCTGGACCTAGTTTGACAACAGAGGAGAAGTTTTAGTATTTTCTCAGACATAACCTCTGTGGCTGTTGGTGATTGGCTCTGCAGATGCATGTGGCACACAAAGCGGGTCTGGGAGTCGGGGTGGTGCTGCTGGCGGTGCTGGCAGCAGCAGTCGTCTTTGTTGGATACCACTTCTACACCCACAGTGCCATACCCTTCCACTTCCACTACTTCAAGGTCAGTGTGTTAGCGCTGTGGCTCTTAGTATAACATGTCATCAAGTAATAAGAGAGTATTAGCTGTTGTGTCACATGTGATGGTAGAACATTTCAAGTACTCGCATTAGTTTTAGAATGATATACTTTTATTAGTTGTATGAAGCCTTTTCAGTGTAGCACATGTAATGCGGACAAAACACACCGGGAGCGTTTAGTGTGGTACTAGCTACCTCAGATTCTGAGTGTTTCTGTATTTTATTCTTCTGACGTGCCAGCCTGCGAGGACGCGCGTCAGTTCATTGCCGGTGTGCGTTGCCCTTTAGGGTTAGTACAGCACCTTTTATATACAAGTATAACATTTGGTGTGCATATTTTTAGTATAATACCATCCTCAGTATTGCTATATAGCTTTCTCCTGTTAGTACAACACCTTTGTTAGTCTAACCTGTGCCCCGGCCGCCTGACAGGAGGATGAACAGGAGGAGGACGCGCCACATGTGGACTGTGGACGCAGCATCGCTAACCCGGTGTATGAAGCAGCTCCAGTAGTGGCTGAGTTCAACACATCAGGTGTCACAGTGAGTCAGTAGCTGGGCCTCGGTGTCTTTACAAACCTCAGTTCAGACAGAGCAGCAGTTTATTTAGAGGTCTGCTTGCTTTGTCTTATTCCATAAAAGTATTTGGGTTTTTAAAGTTAGACATGATGCTTACTTTCTAGACTGTCCTGACATTTATAGACTGCAGAGATGATTCAGCACCTATACATTACAGTTGTAGTTTTGAGCCTAAGAAGGAGAAGCTGAGGACAAAGCAGCACACAGGTGTTTACTCTGTTCACAGGCCGGGGACAAACACGAGGTGGTGAGCAGAAGCTCGTACAACCTGTTGCAGGATGGCTGATGGGGAACCCGCTGCTGCTTGCTGGACCTGCCAACTATGTTTACGTGGACTCTTGAGTTTTCTGACCAGCTCCAAACGCTTCTCTTTCCTCCACTGGTGAAAGTCAGCAGCTGTCTCAGGCTGCACAGGGTTTTCTTTGCAAGAACTGAAGGGCTGCATCGCCCCTGCAGCTGAACTGAACTGAACTGAAGGGCTGCATCGCCCCTGCAGACGGGGCATGTTCTGGAGGATTCACTGTAGCAGCATTAGCAGAGTTCAGCCACCTTCCCTCACAGAAAGCAAACAGTAACGATGTGTTCATGGCCTCTGAGCCAGCGTGAAAAGTCTCTAAAATCTCCAGAAGTTGCTCTGTTACAGCCTCGTCTACCTAGGTTTGGCATTTGGTTTAGAAACTGTGAAACTGAATAATTTGATTGATTTGATTAGATTTATTCTTTCAAGCATGTAAAGACAGTTGATATGACAACACACATAAATTTACACATAATCCAATATCAATTTGCTTATACCTAGTACATGCTTGAATGGAGTAGGAAGAAGTCAGACTTATCCAGTCCTACCCCATGACATCATCTTACCATCATTGGTTTGCAAGCAGTAAATGATTCTCTTCTACACCACACAAGTATTATACTAAAAAAATTATAACAGTGTTAACATTCTTACATAATTACATTCTTAAATAATTATCTTCTACACCACACAAGTAATATACTAAAGAATT